TAATGAAGAAAATAATATGATTGTTTCAATAGATGCTACAAATTATTTGATAAACCTCAAAGCCAATTAAAATCCCTCATAAAACAGAACTAGAAAGTAACTTCCGTGTGTGTGTGTGTGCGCGCCCTAAAGTCACTTCAGTCATGTCTGTCTCTGTGCAACCCCATGGACTATAGCCTGCCAGGTTCCTCTGTTCATAGGATTCTTCAGGCAAGAATACTGAGTGGGTTGCCATGCCCTCCTCCAGGGGATTTTCCCAACTCAGGGATCAAACCGATGTCTTTTATGTCTCCTACATTGGCAGGCAGGTTCTTTACCACTAGTGCCACCTGGGAAGCCCCTTTTATATATGTATATATCAGAAATCAAAACTAAGCATTGTATCTAATGGGACATTCTCGTTATACTTGGGAATAAAATGAAGACATCTATAGTCTTCATAGTTATTAACCATTGTTTGGGAGTCCTATTCAACATTAGAAAAGAAAAAAATGAGGTATAAATATTATACAGGAAGAGGGAAAAATTATAATTACCTCTATTAAGAAAATCAAATTAATCTGAAAATATACTTGACTTAATAATAAAAAAGATGGCAGTACAAAAGAGAAACAGAAATTACCTTTCCTACATATTAGCTATTCAGAAAATACAATAGAAAAAATCTAACTCACAACAATAAAACTCAAAAACTCTGTAAAAATAACTTTTTTTCAACAAATATGCTCAACATATAAGAAAAGCAAAATCTAAACATTACCAAAGGACATAAAAAATGACTTTAATAAACTTACATTAAAACTCATAACCAAACTACTATTTACTTGCTGAATGTTAGGCACTGGCCTAAATTCTTTATTATGTCATTTATTGATCTCAACAACTACATTGAGTAGCTGTGTTTTTCTTCATTTTACAAGTGAAGACACTACAGATCACAGAGGACACATCATTTACCTAAAGACACATGGGCTTTAAGTGGCGAAGACTACTTTCAAACCCAGTTTTGTCTGGCTCAAGGCCTGAACTTTTAGTCACCATGTAATACTAAAGAGATTGAAAATTAAAATGGATGGAGGAACCAATCAGATAACTTAAATAATTAAGGGGCAGAAAGGATAGTGTGGGGAAATCCAAGAATGTATGTCCTCCCTGAACTGGGCAACTGCTGCTCAGGCAATTGTTGATATGTGGAACTGTGAGCCCAGTATTGGCAGATTTTCCAATTCTTCAAAAGAAACTGGAAATCTGATGTGCATATACAATGTCTCATTTTCAAAACTTTAAGGAGGGCTGGGGTAGTGAGTAATGATGGCAGTGAAAATGGCAGAGTATGGACAGAAATCGACATCTCCAGGGTCCTGTCCTTCTGTAGAAACAATGGGAAGATAAGTCACAACAGTAAGTCAACTTTGTTGGGACTCTGGAAAGTAGAGAAAGCTTTTCAGTAACCAAGTGAATGCTTAGTCAAGAAAGAGGGAACTTTAAGAAGAGTAGAAAATTATTGCAGCATTTTTACTTGTCCTTGCTCCCAGCTTTTTGACTCAGCCACAGTTTTGAAGATAGTAGTCCATGTTCACAGTGTGGAACCATAGTCCCTGGTTCCACGGGAGGCAGAATGCACTCTGTTCTCAAAGAACTGTGCTTGTCTTTTGTGATTTGTCTGAAGGCTACCTGAAGGACTGACACAGATGCCGAATGGATAGAATATCAAGACAGAAGATCAACAAGAAAATAAAAGACTTAAACAACACTATAAACCAACTAGACCTCACAGATATATAAAGAACATTCCACCCAAAATAGCTGATAAATATTCTTTTTGAAGGAACATTCTCCAAGACAGAACTTATGTTAGTCACAAAACAAGTCAATGAATTTGAAAGACTGAAATCCTAAAAAGTATCTTCTCTGATACATGCCATGGAATGACACTAGATATCAGTAACAGAATGAAAACTGGAAATTTCACAAACATTTTGAAATTAAATCATACAATTTAAAATGACCAATGGATGAAAAAAAATATTACAAGGGAAATATATACCTTGGGATGGATGAAAATACCTTGAGACAGATGGAAATAAAAGCACAACATACCAAAACTTATGGGATACAGGGAACACTAAGGTCCAGAGGAAATTTAGAGCTGAAAATGCCTACATTAAAAAAGAAGAAATCTCAATTGATAACTTTAAAGAACTATAAGGAGAAGAGCAAACTAAACTCAAATTAGAAGATGGAAGGAAATTCTATTCTAAAGAATTGAGCAGAGATAAATGAAATAGTGATAGAAAATCAGAGAATCAGCAAAATTAAAATTTGATTCCTTGAAAAGATCAACAAAATTAACAAACCTTGTGCTAGACTGAACAAAAAATGGAGTAGTACTGAATAACTTAAGTCAGAATTGAAAGTGGGGATATTACTATCACCCTTATGGAAGTAAAAAGGATTATAAGAGAATAGTATGAACAACTGCATTGCAAAAAAAAAAGAGAGAGAGATAACCTAGATGAAATGGACACATTGTTAGAAACATATTATCAAAACTGACTCAAAAATAATAGAAAATCTCAACAGATCTATATCGCATAAAGAGACTGAGCCAACAACAGCAAAAACAATATAATCAAAAATATAAAACTCCATGGCAAACAAGGCAGAAAACTTTATTTGCAATTTATATAGTGAAGAATTAAAAGTTTTAATACATAAAAAGGTCTCACAAATCAAAAAGGAAAAGACAAGGTAAGACTAGAAAATTTACCCAAAAAATCCAAGGTTATTAAACATGTAAAAAAGAATACAAATTAAAACAAAATTATATGTTTCACTTATCAGATAAGTGAAAATTAAAAGCATGTACAGAACTAGACTCTGTATAGCATTCTCATAAATTACTGGTGCAGCTAGAGACTGGCCCAACTTTTCTGGAAGACATTTTTAAATATAGTACTTTCAAAGAACCAGAAAGAGCACATTTCCTTACCCAGGCAATTCCACAACAGAAAATTTATCTCAAGGAAAAAATATAACAAGCTTATAAAATGTTTGTACAATGACAGTCAATGCAGCACTGTTAAAAGCAAAAAATTAATGCATATAATAAATTACATATATATTTTTAAATAGCTACTCTTTATAAAGCATATATGAACTATATATATATATCTATATATATATATAGATATATATAATCTCATTTTGTTTTCACAAGAATTCTGAGAAGTATTATATTGTTCCCATTTTCATCCACAGATTAGAAAATTGAAGTTCAGAAAAATAAAGAGGTTTGCTCAAACTCAACAATCTATTAAGTAACAGATACATAGTTGGAACAAATTTGGTCTAATGCCAAAAGCCAATGTCCTTTGGATTATGTTTCTTGACATAGAAGAACATTTAAACCATAGTTTTAAATCACAATGTAGTTTATAGAACAATTACATGGTTTGATTCCATTTTGTAAAATACATATTTATAGATATTAAGCATATAGATTTGCATGGGAAAAATTCTTGAAGGGTATACATCAAAATGTTAATAAAGATTATCCCTGAGTGTTTGGGGAGCTTTTTAAATTTATGCTTGTTTTACTTACTTTTCTACAATCAGTCAGTTCAGTTCAGTTCAGCTGCTCAGTCATGTCCGACTCTTTGAGACCCCATGAATCGCAGCATGCCAGGCCCTCCTGTCCGTCACCAACTTCCAGAGTTTACTCAAACTCATTCCATTGAGTTGGTGATGCCATCCAGCTTTCTCATCCTCTGTTGTCCCCTTCTCCTCCTGCCCCCAATCCCCTCCCAGCATCAGGGTCTTTTCCAGTGAGTCAACTCTTCACATGAGGTAGCCAAAGTATTGGAGTTTCAGCTTCAGCAATAATTATATTAAAATATAAATGGAAAAACAAATCTGCAAAACCAATATCCCTGTAAAGTTGCAAGCCATAGTCCATCACCTATTTTATTCCAAACAAAGAATGTATTTGCTTCACACATTTTTAGATAAATAAGTAAGGCAAATCTTTAATATATTTATATTCAACAAACATATCTTGAGCACCTACTATGTGTTAGGTGTGTGTGGGTATTAGTCGCTCAGTCATGTCCAATTCTTTGTGACCCCATGGACTGTGGCCCACCAGGCTCCTCTGTCCATGAGATTCTCCAGGCAAGAATACTGGAGTGGGTTGCCATTTCCTTCTCCAGGGGATCTTCCCGACCCAGGGATCTAACGCATGTTTCTTATAACTTCTACATTGGCAGGTGGGTTCTTCACCACTAGCGCCACCTGGGAAGCCCATGTGCTAGGTACCGTTAGGTAAATAATTTTATTTCAGTGTGTCTAAATTCTCCTGCTCAGAAATATGGCACCAAAGGTACCCACTCTCCCTCTCACTCCTTAATTACTACTATTTGCATTTGGATTTTAAGTTTTATCTCTAATTACCAAATGCAATTAAACCCATATTAAAAGAATATCTGACATTATATTACCAATCCTTGGCTTGCCTCAGTGATTTAGGCTCTGGAAAGCCAAACTCCCAAGTCGCCACTTCTGTACTGATCTGCTCCTGCAGATACAGAGCAAGCTGGCCTGAAGTGGATTCTTAAGGTCTATTCCAAAAAGGGAAGGCAACTATCAAAGTGTAGACCCCACTGGCCACCATCAAGTGCAAATTCCCCACATGTTAAATATTCCTTCTCCTATCTCTCCCTAGCCTTTCTTACTCCTTTTCTTTCTGGAACTCTGGCTCCTAACCCTAACATTCCCTTCTGCTGTAAGACCATTGGATGGTGTGGTTTTAGAACCCATTCTCACTGCATTTTCTCTTCTCCTTCCAGCCCTGCAACCATATATGACTTTAGTACCTTGAGTGTTAGAAGGACTAAAGCCTTCCTGGTACCACCGAAAACAGTACTGGCATTGTTTGTAAAGGCAGGATTTTTTAAGTTTTGTTTTGTTTTAAAAAAAAAAAAAATTGGTAACATCACCACAATACCAATTAGAGTTTATAAAGAAAAATAACATTTAGCAGGACCATTTACAATCACAGTACCCAGTAGTAATATCATACTCTGCACTACAACTGTGGTTATACAAGTAGCCAATGAGTCATGGGTCTGTTTGATGGCAGCAGTAACCTCTGTTCAGGTATGCCGCCCTCGTGTGGTTGGGCGCGTGTTCTGTTGATTCCAGAGATACCTGTAGGATCCTATTTGACACAAAACACTGGGCCTCTGCAAGAAAAAAGCAAGGAGCGGAGCGCTCTAAGGCACCGTTTCACAGAGCCCTGAGGCCTGCTCACTGGGCTGTGGCAACACCAGCCTGTAGTCACCCCTCTTCTTGGGAGAAGGTGAGCTAAGCTCACATACTGAGCTCGCATCCACTCTGAGCGCCCAGAGGCAGCTGGTCCCCAGGCAGCCGCCGGAAGTCCCGCTCACTGCTTGACACTCACTAGCGTGCGCCAGTATTCCTAGAAAAACCAGCGCGGAGGCCCGAAATAAAGCCCATGGGCATTGTTGTCACTCACACACGCTCTGACGGTTGCCTAGACGACCTAGGTCCGGCCCCACCCACAGAGTCTGGCAATCTGGACCAGTCGGGTACCATGCAGAAAATGGAAAAGCCTCCAGAAGAGGCTCCCACCGAATCCTCGGAAGTCCAAAGACCAGCCAAGCCCCCAGATGACAGCCACACAGATGGCCAGGAAGACAGCGGGCAGAACCAGTATGAAGTGGAGGCAGATGACCAGACTGATGACAGAGCAGCTGACCAGACTGCCCAAATGGTGTCAGGCCTAGATGAACCCAACATAGTTAATCAAGCTGACTACAAAGTAGATGAACACATGGGAGAAAGAACATCTGATCAGGCTGATCAGAGGATGTCAGAACAGATGGACAGCAAGGCATCTAGCCAAGCTGATGGTGTCAGGTCTGAACATACTGACAACCAGATGTCTGCCCTGCCTGAACAAGGTACTTATGAGCAAACTGAAAGGAGAACGTCCAACCTAGCTGAGAGAAGAACTTCTGAACAGTTCGACCGAAAGCCATCTGTGCCATCTTTACAAAGAGCCGATGGGCAGAGTGATCACAGAATGCCCCGACCAACTGACCAAAGAACTGCTCAACAAATTGAAAGTAGATTGTCCGGCCTGATTGAGACAAAAATTTATGAACAAGTTGATCAGAGATCATCTGACCAAGTTGACCACAGAAGAGCTGCAAAGACTCACCGCAAAGTGCATGACCAGGCTACTAAACAAGATGAACACCCTGAGACTGACTCTGACAAGGCTGGTGGTGAATCTGACCAGGCTGATGACCTACTGGGCGAAGAGCATGATTACACAGAAGACAACCTGTTTGACTACGGAGAACAGTCTGATGACAACATATTCAGACAACTTGGCTACGGCATGGAAGAGGAAGAGGATGACTTCAAAGTGCAACCCTGCAAATTTGAGCCTAGCCAGACAGATGCCAGCATATCTAAGACTTCCAATGAAACTGACACTGAAAGTGTAGCAGACCTGCGAGTCTTCATGCCATTTGATAACAGTACTTTACAAACAAAAGAACAAGCCTACTCTGAAAGGTTTCCCTCCATTTCATCTAAACTGGACTATATCATCAGTCGAGAAAAACCTCAACCCACAGAAGTCGAGCCTGTAGGTTAAACGGACATTTGATACCCATCTGGGAGGTTGGAGATCAAGCCAGGGTTCTGGGAGAATGCAGGCAGAGGGCACATGCTGTGGTATGTGTAACCCATAGAAATCAGAAAGGCAGGAGTAGGGTGGGAGATAACTAGATGGGTTGCCTTCTCAGCTACCCTAAGTAGGCCATTCAGGGAGGATCAATGAATCAGGATGCAGGAACCCTGGGTTTCAAGTCCTGGTTCTGCTGCTAACCCGGGGAAACTCATTTCCCCTCTCTGAGCTTCTGCCAAAGGAAAGGAATTTGGAGTCCGTTGGATATTTCTGTGAAGGGAAAAGTAGACTGGTGATGTCTAAGGCACCTCTCAAGACCTGAGGTACATTACATTGCCTGGAGGACCAGCCAGGTCTCTCATAAGGTATTTAGTTTCTAGAGTTCAGATCCCATCAATACCAAATTCCACTAATAACATCAACAGTAGCAACAAAACTTCTATTCTATTTATTAGAATTTTCTATTCATTAAAGACTTTCTTGGGGGATATTTCCATTTTAGGATGATTTTTCAACATACCAGGAAAGGAATTCTGATGCATACAGTCAACCTTTTAAGAGGCGATTCCCTCCTATAGTATATGAAGATCCTTATCAAGTTTCACTTCGATACATGGAGAAACACCACATTCTGCAAATATTCCAGGTAAACCTCTCAATCTCTTTTTAAAATGTGAGTTTTAAAGTAATTATAAAAGACAAACACTGACCTGGCTCTTAAAAGGTACAAGAAAAGGTGCTTGCTATAAAAAGGATATAATCTCAGTGTCAGTCAGTAAATGCATTAAGAGTTTTAATCTAAGGTAGTAAATGATAAACACCAAATGAATGATTCTTACCATAATATGAAGCCCTTTAGAAGAATTAGAGATTCGATAGTTTGGTTGCCAGGGGAATAAAATTGGTCAAGGGTTAAAGTTTGAGCCGGACTGAGGAAGGAGGGACAAAATATTGGCAATTAAAAAGGAGAGAAAAAGATTTCCCAGGCAGGAATATAATATTTTCAAAAGATGACCAACTTGTGACCATCTAAGAAACCACATTTTTTTTAGTGTGGAACATTTTTAAGTTCTTTATTGAATTTGTTACAATATTGCTTCTTTTTATTTATTTTTGGTTTTTTGGCCACAAGGCATGTGGGATCTTAGCTCCCTCACCAGGGATCCAACCCATACCCCTCTGCATTGGAAGGTGAAGTCTTAAACCACTGGACCACCAGGAAAGTCCCAAGAAACCACATAAAAATGAAGCAATTTTACAACTGACCAAGAAATAATCTCAAAAATATACAAGCAACTCATGCAGCTCAATTCCAGAAAAATAAATGACCCAATCAAAAAATTGGCCAAAGAACTAAACAGACATTTCTCCAAAGAAGACATACAGATGGCTAACAAACACATGAAAAGATGCTCAACATCACTCATTATCAGAGAAATGAAACTCAAAACCACAATGAGGTACCATCTCACGCCAGTCAGAATGGCTGCCATCAAGAAGTCTACAAACAATAAATACCGGAGAGGATGTGGAGAAATGGGAACCCTCTTACACTGTTGGTGGGAATGCAAACTAGTACAGCCACTACAGAGAACAGTGTGGAGGTTCCTTAAAAAACTGGAAATAGAACTGCCATATGACCCAGCAATCCCACTGCTGGGCATACACACCGAGGAAACCAGATTTGAAAGAGACACGTGCACCCCAATGTTCATCGCAGCACTGTTTACAACAGCTGCTGCTGCTGCTACGTCGCTTCAGTCGTGTCCGACTCTGTGCGACCCCATAGACGGCAGCCCACCAGGCTCTCCCATCCCTGGGATTCTCCAGGCGAGAACACTGGAGTGGGTTGCCATTGCCTTCTCCGTTACAACAGCCAGGACATGGAAGCAACCTAGGTGTCCATCAGCAGACAAATGGATAAGGAAGCTGTGGTACATATACACAATGGAATATTACTCAGCCATTATAAAGAATGCATTTGAATCAGTTCTAATGAGGTGGATGAAACTGGAGCCCATTATACTGAGTGACGTAAGTCAGAAAGAAAAACACCAATACAGTATACTAACCCATATATATGAAATTTAGAAAGATGGTAACAACGACACTATATACAAGACAGCAAAAGAGACACAGATATAAAGAACAGACGAGGCGAGGATAGGATGATTTGGGAGAATAGCATTGAAACATGTATATCACCGTATGTGAAACAGATGAACAAGTTCATCTATTTGAACTGTTTCATCTATGTGAAACAGGGCACTCAAATCCAGTGCACTGGGACAACCCAGAGGAATGGGATGGGGAAGGAGGTGGCAGGGAGGTTCAGGTCTGGGGGACACATGTACACCCATGGCTGATTCATGTCAGTGTATGGCAAAAACCACCACAATATTGTAAAGTAATTAGCCTCCAATTAAAATAAATTAATTAATTTTTAAAAATTAAATGAAGCTATAGTTCTCCTTTTACCTATCTGTTGATGCCTAATGATAACTATCTGGATGAAGATCTAGAATTAGAGTCAATAAATAATCCACTGATATACTATTATGATTAAAATTATATCAATTGTCAAAAAATTACTTTTAATTCTTGAAATTACAAATCTTACTGACCTCAGGATATGGAGATGGAACCTTCTTTAAAGTATGACATTGCTTGACCAATATAGCATTATATATTATCAGATTTAAAAGTTTTGTTGCTTTCTGGATTGCTTTGTTTCTGTTTTCCTTGAATGTGTATTTTAATGTTAATATTATTACCCAGCAAGGCATATACACATATGTAATAACATACATACATGAAGTAACTTTTTATCGTGTGGTTATAAAGTTGTAAGTAAGAATGCATGCTTAGTTGCTCAGTCATGTCCGACTCTTTGTGACCCCATGGACTGTAGCCTGCCAGGCTTCTCTGTCCATGGGGACTCTCCAGGCAAGAATACGGAGTGGGTTGCCATGCCCTCCTCCAGGGGACCTTCCCAACCCAGGGATTGAACCCAGGTCTCTCACACTGCAAGTGGATCCTTTACCGTTTGAGCCACCAGGGACGCCCAGCTTAGAATGGCCCACCTCACGTGAAAACATTTAAGCTGGAGAAATTTAAGTTTAAAGAAGCAGGATGTAGAGGAAAGTGTACAAATTGTATAATCTATTAGCCCAAGTCTCCAAGCTAAATTTGCTCCTTCTCATCTTTGTAATTTGGAGGAGATTACCTAATTTCTGTGAATCTCAGTGTCCTCATATAACAGGGATAAGTGATATTTACTTTATTAATGTTATTCTATGCCGCTTCTTTCTTTAAAATGTCCTTTTGTGGAAGAATGCTAACTGCTGGGCTTTCTGGCTTTAACAAAGAACTACTAATTGTTAAACTGAAGGACAGAAGCCCTAGAAAGTAGCATTTTAATCATTCTGTAAGCAGTTTTCTTCATCTGTCAAGAAAAAACAGTGTTTATGCATTGAACATTGTGATAAGTAAAGCTAGTTATAAATGTGTTCAGTAGAAATATATGTGAAATGATTAATGAGCATGCATGCATTAAACAGTTCAAAATACTTTATACCAGAAATTTGCCCTACTGTTATTCCCTGCAAATGAGAATTCCGTTTACTTTATTAATAATTTTTGTTATTCAACAACAACAAAACGTATGAAAGTGAGTCTCTGAAGTCTTTGATATGCTTTCTCATTTATTATTACAAACACAGAACATCATTTTAACCTTTTAGAATCAAATGCCTTAGGAAGTTTCTATGTAAAAATCATAGTGTTTTAAAATTTTTACTCAAAAAAGTTTCTTTGACTGTTCTTTGAAGTAAATTATTTATTGATTTCTCAGTCTAGCAAAATCACAATTCTCAAAATAAAAACTTCCTCCAAAACCTTCTCACTACCTCTTTGATCTTAAAAACTAGAAAAATATCCACTGCTGTTTATTACTAAATCTTTATTCATCCACATTTTACCTTAATTTACCTAAACTTATCAGTAGTAAGGAAGTAATTTGTCAATATGTAGACATACATGAATTTTTTTTAAATACTGTGATACAAAAAAAAAATGCTGTGGTACTTGTTAGGTTAATGCAACATATTACCTCAGGTATAACCTGACCACATAAGTTTAGTTCAGAACCATAATGTAATATCTTTCTCTCTCTCAGCAGATCACTGAAAACTTAGTCTATGAAAAGCCAGAGGATCCCCTGAATTTTATGCTGGGCCAGGTATGGAATAGGAGAAAAAGAACAACCTAGTTATTCTTTTTATTATAAAATATAGCACACATACAAGTGTACAAAACATGTGCAACTCAGTCAATGGTCATGAAGTGAGCATATCTGCAACTGCCATTCAGGTTAAAAAACAAAAAACTAAACATCATCAGCATCTGAGAAGTCCCCTTCAGTTTCCTCAAGGTTATCACTTCCCACAAAGGGACTATTATTCTGACTTTTATGGTAATGACATTCTCACTTTTCTTTTTAATTTTGCTATGAAACATGAGTCATAAAACACTCTTGTTTAGACTTGTCAGATTTTTGAAATTTTTATTTTATTTTATTTAGTGGTTAAGAACATGACTTCTAGAACCAAACTGCTTTATTTTTTAGACTTAAAAATATTTTTAGTTTTAAATTTTTATGCAATTTTTAAAGCTTACTTTCCATTTACAGTTATTACAAAACATTGTCTATATTCCCCATGTTGTACAATACATGCTTGAGCCTGTCTTACCCCCAATTATTTGCTCCCTGCCCCCACACTGGTAACCATTAGTTTCTTCTCTGTATTTGTGTAGACTTGTCAACCTTTTAAACTTTATATAAAGGGAACCATGTAGTAGAGATTCATTTGTTCATTCTTTTACTCAAAACTATGTCTGTGAAATTAATCCATGCTATTGTGTGTGGCTGTAGTTCATTTACTTTCATTGCTATATATCATTCATCACTTGAAATGCCACAATTTATTCATTCTGTTATAAATATGGACCTTCAGGATAACCTATTACAAAACTTTTTCCTAGGAACTTTCATGCGCATGTCTCTTGGTACACATAAATACGCATTTCCCTTGGGTACATACCCACAAGAGAGAATGCTGGATTCTAAAGTATGTGTAGCTCAGCTCTAGTACATTACATCAAATGATCTTCCAAGGAAATTTTCACCAATTTACACTCCCACTAGCAGTGTGTATTAGAGTTTTGGTTGTCTTACATCATTACCACTTACACCCAACAGTATTACGAGTCTTTTCAGCATTAGCCTTTTTAATGGATGAACAGTAATAAATCATTGCAGTTGCATACTTTTTCATTTGTTTATTGGCCATTTGGAAATATTTCTTTTCTATTATATTGTCTTTTAAAATCATTTATAACAGTTCTCTATATATTCTGGTTGTGAGCTCTTTGTTGATGTGCTTGTTACATGTATATTTTCTGACTCTTTGCCTTCGTATTTTATCTCTTAAAGATATCTTTTGATGAACAGGAATTTTTAATTTTTATATATTCAAATTTATTTTATTACTTCTGGTGTCCTATATTAGAAGTGTCTTCTTAGCCCAAGTTCCTCACCTTCGTCCCTGTATTATCTTGTAGAAGTTTTTTATGTATTTTGTTTTGTTTTGCTTTTTACATTTATGTCGAATCAGTTTGGAATTGATTTTGTGTAGGAAGTAAGGTGAAGTCAAGCTTTATTTTCTTTCAAGCAGACATCCAACTGACGAAGCACCTTATAGGAAAAGACAGTACTTTCCACACTGTTTTTTTATTTGACTCCTGTAGTATATTTGTTGATCCTTGTTCCTCTACAAGAATCTCTTAGAATTCCCCAAAATAAGTTTTAATATCTACCAGAGCAGGTCCTCACATCTTATTCTTCTTTTAAAATATCTCAGTTTTCATTCCAATCCTAAAGAAAGACAATGCCAAAGAATGCTAAAACTACTGCACAATTGCACTCATCTCACACACTAGCAAAGTAATGCTCAAAATTCTCCAAGCCAGGCTTCAACAGTTCATGAACTGTGAACTTGCAGATGTTCAAGCCGGATTTAGAAAAGGCAGAGGAACCAGAGATCAATTGCCAATGCCCATTGGATCATCAAAAAAGTGAGAGAGTTCCAGAAAAACATATGCTTTATTGACTATGCCAAAGCCTTTGATTGTGTGGATCATGACAAACTATAGAAAATTCTTAAAGAGATGGGAATACCAGACCACATGACCTACCTCCTAAGAAATTTGTATGCAGGTCAGGAAGCAACAGTTAGAATTGGACATGGAACAACAGACTGGTTCCAAATTGGGAAAGGAGTATGTCAAGGCTGTATATTGTCACCCTGCTCATTTAACTTATATGCAGAGTACATCATGAGAAATGCTGGGCTGGATGAAGCACAAGCTGGAATCAAGATTGCCGGGAGAAATATCAATAGCCTCAGATATGCAGATGACACCACCCTTATGACAGAAAGTGAAGAGGAACTAAAAAGCCTCTTGATGAAAATGAAAGAGGAGAGTGAAAAAGTTGGCTTAAAACTCAACATTCAGAAAGCTTAAGATCATAGCATCCAGTCCCATCACTTCATGGCAAATAGATGGGGAAACAATGGAAACAGTGACAGACTTTATTTTGGGGTGGCTCCTAAATCACTGCAAATGGTGACTGTAGCCATGAAATTAAAAGATGCTTGTTCCTTGGAAGAAAAGTTATGACCAACCTAGACAGCATATTAAAAAGAAGAAAAGACTTTCCCAACAAAGATCCATCTAGTCAAAGCTATGGCTTTTCCAGTAGTCACATATGGATGTGAGAGTTTGACTATAAAGAAAGCTGAGCGCCGAAGAATTGATGCTTTTGAACTGTGGTGTTGGAGAAGACTCTTGAGAGTTCCTTGGACTGCAAGGAGATCCAACCAGTTCATCCTAAAGGATATTAGTCCTAAATATTCATTGGAAGGACTGATGCTGAAGCTGAAACTACAATACTTTGGACACCTGATGTGAAGAGCAGACTCATTTGAAAAGACCCTTATGCTGGGAAAGATTGAAGGCGGGAAGAGAAGGAGATGACAGAAGATGGGATGGTTGAACAACATCCCTGACTCAATGGACATGAGTTTGAGTAAATTCTGGTAGTTGGTGATAGACAGGGAGGCCTGGCGTGGTCTATGGGGTCACAGAGAGTCAGACATGACTGAGCGACTAAACTGAACTGAACTGATGTTTCTAGGTTTCTCTCATCTTGTGCATATTATTCATTCCTTTTCATTTTTGTATTCTCTATTCTGAGTTAGACGTTTGATTTTTTTCCTTTTTTTTTTTTTTTTTGGTTGTTATGAGTAATGCTGCAATGAACATTCACATACTTGTCTCGGCGCACATGTGCACGAATTTCTATTGGGTTCAGACCTAGAAGTGTAATTGCTAAGTCATAGGTTATTGACATAAGTTCAGCTTTAACAGATAGCTAACCGAAAGTTTTCCAAAGTACTCAGACAAGTTTACACTCCCACTTAAAGTGGTATTGTTGTATTTTTCTTCATATTTCTTATGCTGTGGTGCTTTGAACTAAGAACTTATGAGCTTATGGTTTTCAGCATATTTGGAAATTTGGCAGCCACTGTTTCTTCAAACACTTTTCTATCTTGTCCCTCTCCTGTGGGAGCCCCAATTACATATATATGAGGGCAGTTGAAGTTGTCTCACAATTTCCTAATTCTCTATTAATGTTTTTTAACTTTTTTTTCCCCTTTCCATATATCAATTTTCTATTGCTGTCTTCAAGGGTATTGATCTTTTGTTGTGCAGTATCTACAGTACACTTTTCATCCCCAATTTAGTTTTTATCTTTTCTGTAGTGTCGCTATCTTAACTTTTTTAACATAGAGAATTTAGTTATAATAGTTTTTGCTGCTTGTTTTTATGCCTGGTAATTTTTTTATTGAGATATAATTGACATATAACATTGTGATAGGTAGGTGTCCCAGAAGCTCAGATGGTAAAAAATCTGCCCATCTGTAAATTTTCTTCAACTATTGAACATTTCAAACATATGCAAAAATAGAGAATAGCTTATTTGCTCTCCATGTCCTCCTTGCACTGGAAGTCCTAGCCAGAGCAATTAGGCATAAATAACTACTTTAAATTAAAAAAGTAAAAGCTTTCCAAATCAGAAAGGAAGAAGTAAATGTTGTCTTTTCCATTTAAAATGAATTACATTCTCTAGATTTTCTTGTAACTAGGATAATTTCGATTGTATCTTGAACACCTTAAATATTGCGCTGTGCAGACTGTGTTCTGTCATATTCTTCTGACAAGTGATGAAGCTCTTGTTTTTGTTTAACTGGCTGTTAACATGGTTAGATTTGAACTGTGAGCACTCTCTCTTGCCTTCTGTGGTCACTTCTTTTTGCTACTACTAGTTTGAATCTGACCTATGAATGCATGCTTCAGAAGGCAACCTAAGGCGTGTGCAGAGTTCATGCACAGACCTTCCCTCTTCGAGGATTCCCCCTCACTCTTCAGCATCTGCCATTTGACCAGGCCACTTTCTGTGATTTTTCCCTCCAGAAAAGCAATGGGTTTTCTATCAGAGTTTGAGGTATTCTGGTGCAGCCACAGCTATGTTTGTGGGTCATGACTGTTTTGGGGTCAAAATTATGAAAACGGAGGAATTCATTCCATGTTGGTCACTTGCTCTAAGTTTAGAATCCTCTTCAAAACCTACCTGCTTTGTGTCCAGAACCTTCATGTAGTTGTAAGACTTTTTGCTTTGTTTCAGTTTGTAGGTTTTTTCTTTTGTAGGGGGGGGTTGTATTTTGTCTACAGTACACAGGTGTTATTTGAAGAATTCAATTTTTTAGTGTTTCTTCTTGCATATAGGAAGCAGATCTTCATATATTAAGTTATATATTATTAATATATACTATATGCTCTTACAGTTTTATCACACAGATTTAAGTGTGTGGTATTTTTACTTTATTTAGCTCAAAATAGTTTCTAATTTTCTTTATGATTTATTCTGCAACATATGGATTTTTGGACAGTAGATTATTTATATAAATACCTAAATATTGGTTTCTTGTTGCCCTTTGGTTATTGATTTCAAAGTCAATTGCACTATACTCATAGAACAAGATTTCAAATCTTTGAAATGTATTTACTTGCTTTATGATACAGCATATAGTTAATTGCTGTGAATGAATTAATTGGGATTGAAAAAATATTTATTCTTCAGTTATTGAGAAGTGTCTAAATATACCCACTGGATCAGGTTTGTTAAACATGTTATTCAAGTTTTCCAATATTATTGTCAATTTATGCTGTGTATATGTAATTAGGGCTAATGTTATTAGGTGCTTATAAATTTAGGTTCTTATATTTTTCTGGTAAATTGAATTTTTTATCATTAAGGAGTATAACATGAACTCTAACTACTCTTTCCAATATTGTTACAGCTACACCGGATTTATTTTACTCAGTGTTTATATGGTATATATTTTCCATCTTTATTACTTTTAACTTTTCTCTGTCCTTACATTTTAGACATCTTTCTTATAAATATTAATTGTGTATATTATAATTTTTATAATTATTCAAATCTGACAAGCTTTTAATTAGAGTAGTCCTTTTATATTTGATGTTGTTAAAGATATATTTGGGTTTGAATCTATGCTATTTGTCCCACCTGTTTTGTTTCTTTTCCTCTATTTTTGTCCTCCTTTATTGTTCCATTTTTCTATTTAGAAGTTATACTCAGTTTGTTTTTTGGTTTTACATTGAGGTGATCTTTTTAATTAATATGCTTTATTTTTTAGAATAGTTTTAGATCTACAGAAAAATTAAGCAGAATGTACAGTGAGTTCCCACTTACTCTCATCTCCCCCCATTTCCTCTATTATTAACATTCTGCATTATTGTGGTACATTTGTTACAATTGGTCAGCCAGTTTGATACATTATTATTAACTAAAGTTCATGATTTACATAAAGTTTCTTTGTGTATGGGCTCCCTGGTAGCTCAGTTGATAAAGAATCTGCCTGCAATGCAGGAGTCCCCTGTTCAATTTCTGGGTCGGGAAGATCTGCTGGAGAAGGGATAGGCTAACCAGTCCAGTATTCTTGGGCTTCCGTGGTGGCTCAGGCAGTAAAGAATCCGCCTGCAATGTGGGAGATCTGGGTTTGATCTCTGGGTTGGGAAGATCCCCTGAAGAAGGGAATGGCTACCCACACCAGTATGCTGGCCTGGAGAATCCCATGGACTATATAGCCCATGGGGTTGCAAACAGTTAGACACAACTCAGTGACTTTCACTCTTTGTGTTATACATTATAGGTTTTGACTATTGTATATGCTATGTATTTACACTATCATACAGAAAAAGGTCACTGCCCTAGTAATCTTCTTAATATTATACTTTTAATCGTTCTCCTAGATGTTTTCAACATGTAGTCTTGAGTTATCAAAATCTAAATTATTTGTACCAAGTCAGTATAAGTGAAGTGAAGTCGCTCAGTCGTGTCCAACTCTTTGCAACCCCATGGACTGTAGCCCACCAGGCTCCTCCATCCATGGGATTTTCCAGGCAAGAATACTGGAGTGGGTTGCCATTTCCTTCTCCGGGAGATCTTCCCAACCCAGGGATTGAACCTAAGTATCCCACATTGTAGGCAGATGCTTTACCATCTGAGCCGCCAGGGAACTCAAGTCAGTATAAGGACGTCTATATTTTGATTTTCTATATATTTTTAGCCCTACAAAATATGATAGTGCCAAGTAGATCAAAACTGCAAGTGGAAAAAAAAATTTTTTTTCATTCTCCTCAGGTACAGGAAATGATACAAAACAGAAACAAATGTGAAAACTACAAAGAATGAATCTCTCCTCAACATTGTTTACAACCATCGATGTCAACACTATGTTCTGTTGCCCACTCTGAAAAATCATTTTTGAATGGTCATTGATAGTGACTCTGCCTAAATGTGTTTTTATTTTTTAAGTAAAAACCTACTGAGTATCTGTGTAAAATTCATAGTACAGTTACAGATACTTCTGGCTAATCATACAAAACATATACACATATACTTATCCGTGCATTGATATTTCAATACTCATTCCTCCAAAGCACTGAACAGAAACATGTTCACAAATTCCAAAGAGGATCAAGAAAAGAATATTAGCAATTTATATGCAGTTCCCAAAAGCATACAAATCCATCATGTCTCAAAGTTGTTTATAGAATTTTCAATCAGAAAATGTGCAGAAAATAATTTGTAGGAGTACTTTTAGGAAATAATTGGTGTACGATCTCTTTTCTTGTTTCTTAATACCTCCAAGATATTTTTACTATTTTCCCCTTTGACCCTGCCTGTGATAGTCTGACATTAGGGGATGCGATTTAATCTATTCCTTGGGATAGTCTTCTTCTGATTTTTAACCTACAGCAAAACTCAAACATGTTATACTACTCTGTACACGCCTGTGGGAGAGGCAGAATGTCACTTCCTTATTACCTTTATCCTCTGAAGAGTGTCTACATTGTATGGAATGTGCAACCAGTCAAACTGGTATTTAAAAGCTAAAAGCTTTAACGAGGTCTACATGGTCTGAGAGTACCCAGCAATCATAACTGAGATGATCATATGATACTACTTTTGTCTGAAACTTTCATTTAATTTCTGAGCATTAAAGCAGACTTGATTATTGATATTGTTTCCCTGGTGACTTGGTGTAATTATGTGGTGTATTACAATGAATTAAGTTCCTGTTTGAATAGTCATGCACAAATCCCTTTTTTATACCTGAATTTTATGTCTAACAATTATATTTTTAAAATCTATGCTTAGAACTTCAAAGCTTCTTTCGTTTTTCCTTCAATTGTCCATAAAATGTGCCTGTGCCCAGACTCAATAAATATTCTCCAGGCAGATAAGCAGTCTTTCTGTTGACTGTGGGCTGGCAAAACTAGGTGAAAGCTGATAAACTTACAGTGAACCTGTGGGAAAACTTTAAGAGACATGACTAAGATATAATTAATCAGCTGGTAGAACAAAATTGACCCAAATACTGAAGGATCAACAATATTATTAGAGATCAAAGACTCGGCTGTTATCAGTAACATCTGGAATTCCTGAATTTGGTCCACCGATTTTCGGCCCTAACACGCTACTGTGTTCCGTGAAGCCGAACACCTCAACCCAGCCCACCACGGTCACCTCAGCCCTTCTCACTGGCGGCGCGCGACGCATTTCAGAGCTGCTCGTTTGACTGTTCACAGTGAGGCAGTGGACCAGAGGGGATGGACTTGGTTTGGTCCGGTGCTCCTGACTAAATATGTTTGACTGAAAGAAGGGAGAAAATGGAGATCAAGCCTCACTCTCAGTGACTCAGGCTGAGTCAATCAGCGAAAAGTATGTTCAGTTCTTAGTCCCTATGTGGTAGGAAGTAGTCCCAGACCAGGAGTAAACACGAAAGGTGAGACTCTAGGTGGAGCTGGCTGTCAGCTAGAAAAGGAAGAGGAGTGAATTCCTGAATTTGGTCCACCGATTTTCGGCCCTAACACGCTACTGTGTTCCGTGAAGCCGAACACCTCAACCCAGCCCACCACGGTCACCTCAGCCCTTCTCACTGGCGGCGCGCGACGCATTTCAGAGCTGCTCGTTTGACTTTTCACAGTGAGGCAGTGGACCAGAGGGGATGGACTTGGTTTGGTCCGGTGCCCTGACTAAATATGTTTGACTGAAAGAAGGGAGAAAATGGAGATCAAGCCTCACTCTCAGTGACTCAGGCTGAGTCAATCAGCGAAAAGTATGTTCAGTTCTTAGTCCCTATGTGGTAGGAAGTAGTCCCAGACCAGGAGTAAACACGAAAGGTGAGACTCTAGGTGGAGCTGGCTGTCAGCTAGAAAAGGAAGAGGAGGCCCAGGCTATTCAGAGTGAAACTGACAGAGAACATGACACATAGGGAAAAGAAGGTAATGGGAACAAAAGTTGATGTCAGAACAAGCAGGGTTCATAAGTATGACTTCCCTTGAAGGATTGAATCCCTTAAGAATGCTTTTAAAAAATGCATCATTCCTATAGATATGAAGTGTGAGGGCCTCAAATGTTATTGAATGAGATAACATGAAAAAGCACCTACAAAAGTGCCTGGTACTGTAAGTTCTTATTATTTTAGTAATGTTATTATCAATAGTATTGATATTAGATTTTTCCCTGAGCAATCCTGTTGACCCTCACTCACTGTGTTCCTCCACTCCTCACAGTAATTGAGAATCAAGCTACTAGAACACTTTTCTGGGGCACATCCCTTTCCCTCTTCCATTTAAAGAATAAACATGACATCATTTGTCATTAGGGAAATGTAAACCAAACCACAATGAGATGTTACTTCACATCCACTGAGATGGCTGTAACCACAGACAATAACAAGTGTTGGCAAAGCTGTAGAGAAATTAGAATAGTTATACGGCTAATGGAAATGTAAAATAGAGCAGCTGTTTTGGAAACAGTTTGGCAGTTCTTCAAAAACTTTAACATTATCTATGACTCAGAAATTCCACTCTTAGGAATATATCTAAGACAACTGAAAATATATGGCCATATAAAAACTTGTACAGAATATATGTAAAGTAATTAGCCTCCAACTAATAAAAATAAATGGGAAAAAAAAGAAAACTTGTACAGAATATAAAATGCATACCCAGCAAAGACATTATTGTAGACCAAATGCAACTCTGCTCAATGTTATGTGCCAGCCTAGATGGGAGACAGGTTTGGGGGAACATAGATATATGTATATGTATGGCTGAGTCCCTTTGCTCTTCACCTGAAACTACCTTTAATCAGCTATACCCCAATATGAAATGCTTTTGGTGTTAAAATTTTAAATTAAAAAAAAAAACACTTGTACAAGAATATTCATAGCAGTGTTCATAATAACCCCAAAGTGGAAACAATAAAAATGCCCAGCAAGTGATGAATGGATTTTTTAAATGTGATGTTTGATAGATGAGTGGATAAATAAAAATGTGGCTTGTATATACAATGTAATGTTATTCAGCTTTGAAAGGAATGAAATTCTGACACATACTGCACCATGGATAAACACTGAAGACATTATGCTAAGTGAAATAAGCCAGTCACAACAGGATAAATACTGTGTGATTCTACTTCTATGAGGTATCTAAAATAGTCAAATTCATATAGACAAAGTAGGATGGTTGTTGTTAGGGACTATGGGAGGGGAAATGGGGAATTGTTTTCACAGGTAGAGTTTCAGTTCTGCAAAATAGAAAAGGTCTGGAGATCTGTTACACGGCAATATGAATATATTATACTTCACTCCACTGAACCTTACACTTAAAAATGGTTAATATAGTAAATGCCATATGTTTTCTACTACAACTTTTAAAAGTTAAAAGTGAAAATATATATATATACATACAATGGAATATTGTTTGGTAATAACAAGGAATGAAGTATTGATATATGACTATGATTTAGATGAAACTTAAAAGCATTCTATGAAGTGAAAGAAAGCCAGTAACAAAAGGCCACATAGCATGTGATCCCATTTAGGTGAAATGTCCAGAACAGGCAAACCCACAGAGATGGAGAGCAGATAAGTGGTTGCCAGGGGTAGGGGAGAGGAAGTGGTAGGGAGTGAATGCAATGAGAACGAGCTTTCTTTTGTGGGTGTTGAAAATGTTCTAGAATTAGATAGTGGTAACAGTTGCACAATTCTGACTTTCCTAAAACCACTGAGTTATACACCTCAAAAGAGTAAAGTTTGCAGTATATGAATTATATATCCATAAAGGTTTTTTTTTTTTTAGTATTGGATTTTTTTTAATTTTTTTTTCATTTATTTTTATTATTTGGAGGCTAATTACTTTACAATATTGTAGTNGGTAACGATAACCCTATATGCAAAACAGAAAAAGAGACTCAGATGTATAGAACAGACTTGTGGACTCTGGGAGAAGGCGAGGGTGGGATGTTTCAAGAGAACAGCATAAAGTTTTTTTTTTAATTAATGTGAAGATTAATGTTTTAAGTCCATTTTATGACACAGGAAAGTGAAGGAGAATAGCTATAAGGCTCAGACACAATAGAAACAGGAAGACTCAGGCTTCTGAAATTATTCTTCTATTTCCCTCACTCTTATGAATTCCCTTGTTTTACTCTGGTCTCCTGCATGTGTTTTATTTTCTTTCAAATTAGCATTCTGTTATTTCATGTTTGTGAGTGTTTCCAGCTCACTGAGATATAATTGACATATGTTAATAGCATTGCATAAGGTTAAGGTATACAATGTAACTATTTGATATATGTATGTATTGGGAGATACTTTCTATAATAAAGCTTCCTATTATTTCTTTCTCTCTTTTTTTACTGTATGATTCCATGTATTTTAAATTCTGGATAATGTGAACTAACCTATAGTGGCAGGAAGAAGATCAATGGTTGTCTGGGGGGAAAGGGGGCAAGAGCAAGGATTACAAAGGCATAAGAGGACACTTTCAGGAGTGATTGATTGGTTTGTCACCATCTTGATTGACATGATGCTTCCATGGGTGTGTATATGTCAGAACTAATCAGACTCAGTTTTACTCACCCTATCTCTTCCACTTACCTTCTTTTGCTATTATGTCATCAACTTTTGTGTTAACACTGTGTAAACCATCTATTCTTGTGAATAAGAAGTGAGTATGTAAGTATAATAATGTCTGTTGATGTTTTTGTGCTCACATGTGTGCACATATATTTTTGTATAATGGGGATGTGGACAGGTATGGTTGTTGATGGTTGTGCACCTGTGCTTGAAACTTCATGCCAGTTATTTGGTTGGAAACATTGTAAAGCTAAAACTCAGAAAAAAGAGTTATGTCATTTTAGGTGGCAAATAATATGTGTGCCAGAATCTTATTAGGCTCTGAAAAGGCTGTTTTATTTCTCCTAATATGAAAATTTTCAGTAAGTTGACACCAGAAAGACGTGGCTATTGTGGCTTATTCTTATGAACAGATAGGAGTCCAATAGGACAGAGCTGAGTTGTCTGCCTAATTCTGTGTTTTTAAATTTTTTAAAAAGCCCAAAGCAGTCCTCCTGAAACTCCTTTAAAATTACAGTCAATATTTACCAAAAGAAGTAAGTCTATTTTAATACTCAAAGCAAAAGAGAGAGAAACCTGAGATTTTTATAATTTCTGGAAACAGAAATCAGATGGGGCCCAAAAACAGATAAAGCAGGACAGCTGACCCACCTCAAAACCAACAGAGGTGTCTAACTGTAGGCATTTCTCCAGGCAGAGCCTCAGACAACTCCAGGCTCGTGGGCAGGTACAGGGGAGAGGAGTATGCTCTAAGTAACAAAGGACTCCTCCTTTCTTGTGACCATAACGCTCTATTTTAGTTGCCCACCAATGGAGCCACACCTTGTCATCACCAAAACTGCCCCACAATGAAATCATGATGTAGTCAAACCATGCTTCCAGCCATGACACTGAACATGGAGAATTTCATAGAGAAGATTTGTGTCAAATTTTTATGAGAAAAACATGGGGATAATTGTCCAACCTCAAAATTGTCCAACTACAAATTGATCAAATAAATTATGGCTTATCCATGCAATGAAATTCCATGTGTCCAATTAATGTTGCTGCAATTATTATTTAATTATTTGGATCTACCCCATATCATATAACAACATACATACAAAACCATATATATAGAAAAACATCTATTTCTGCCTTTTTGACTATGCCAAAGACTTTGACTATGTGGATCACAACAAACTGTGGAAAATTCTTAAAGAGATGGGAATACCAGACCACATGACCTGCCTCCTGAGAAATCTGTATGCAGGTCAAGAAGCAACAGTTAGAACTNACTGCAAGGAGATCCAACCAGTCCGTCCTAAAGGAGATCAGCCCTGAATATTCATTGGAAGGACTGATGCTAAAGCTGAAACCCCAATACTTTGGCCACCTGATGCGAAGAACTGACTCATTTGAAAAGACCCTGATGCTGGGAAAGATTGAAGGTGGAAAGAGAAGGGGATGACAGAGGATGAGATGGTTGGATGGCATCACCGACTCAATGGACATGAGTCTGAGCAAGTTCCGGGAGTTGGTGATGGACAGGGAAGCCTGGTGTGCTGCAGTCCATGGGGTCACCAAGAGTTGGACATGACTGAGTGACTGAACTGAACCGAACTGAATCTGTTTTGAAAAGATTCATGTTTTCTCCCCACATAATCCCAGTAATAGAACATACACTGCCTAAGATATGAATGGAAACATATGTCCTTGTCTGTATCCTTGCTATTTTACCACAAAGATTTACAAAAGAGCACATTTTTAATAACTTACATATTTCTCTGCAACATAGATCATTTATAAATATATGAACTACCAAAAAGTCATTCATATCACATCATCCAGATAAATCCTGGTATATTTAATTTCTTTCTAACATTTTAAAATCTTTTTCTTTCTAACTTTTAAGTTAACTTGTACATATACATACTTTAAAAAAAGCATGTTGAATTGTACAAACTTTTGTAACCTGCTTTTTTCATTTGTAGTACTTAGGAAATATTTGGCACTTCATAAGTTCTTGATGCATATTTATATAAATAAATATTGAATAAATAACTGAACATATTTCCATGGAATGAAGTGGTTTTCTGTGACCTCATTTTTCCTATCACAATTGCATAGAATTCCACTGTGTGAAAAATGCTCTCCCTAACCAGGCCCTGCAGAGCTGAGGAGGAATAAGTCGTGTGATGGACAAGAGATGCCCCGTGCCAGCCCCTTCAAGGGGGAATATGCTGCCCAGCTCCTGAGAGTACCACAGCTCCTGCCTCCCCTGCCACCCACTTCAGGGACTGCCTTTGTTACAAAAAGCCACATTCCCAGGGCAAGCTGTATCTAAGGACTGATTATAGAGGGGACCAAGGCAGAGCGACTATAACAGGCCATCTTCCTCCAGAGTCTCCTGAGGCTGTCCCACCCGCATGGCAGATTGACATCCCTCTCCACCCAACCTTGTTTCGTCACTCTCCCTTCTCTCTTCCCTGGGTATTTACTCACTAATAAATATACTGCACACTATACTCAGTCTCCAAGTCTGTTCCTGAAAAACCTAACCTGTTAGAAGGATGGTCCTGACGCATGAGAATCCCGAAAATCTATTGTTTAAGGCATTGAGTAAATCCTAACATGACTGCCAAGACCCATCACTCACCAGGCTAAATAAACTATGATGCATGTATCCATTTTCTTCAGTTGTTGGTGCTGGTGTATGACACATGGCTCCAGATGAAAAGCTGAAAGAAAAAGGGAAGGGGAGAGGAGGAGTGGAGAAATTAATTGGAAAACATGGGATGATTGTTTGAGCCCTTTCTCTATATCTCAACCTCTTTGTTTCCAGGTCTCCTGCCCCTTATCAGTCTTTGGACCAGCTCAGTGTGGCGTTCCTTGGGCAATTCTTATCCCCATAGACATAGCATCTGGAAGTTACAGAAATTGAAACTAGACATGACCCTGGACACATAAATGTGTACCAGCATGACTGAACAGTCAGGACAACAAAAAAGGCCTTTTTAATGCCCAAGAGCAGAATTAAGGATTAAAACACTCTAATAAAAGCAAAACAAATCAAAATCAAAACAGAAGCCCTGAGTGTGTGTTCAAGGAAGCCCAGACCTATGAGGAATCCAGACGTGTGATGAGCTGAACCCTGTCCAGGTGCTTCCATCTGTCAGAATTACACATTCCAGGGTAGCAGAAATCTACTGGCTGAAAGTTTCCTGTTACTTCCGGCCCTAGAGAGGCAGGCTTAGGCAGCATCAGGCTCAGCCCATGTGAGATGCCTTCTCCCAATCACAGACCACCCTTCCCTGGTCCCAGAGGTTCAAAGGACTGGTGCAGGGTAGAAAAGCACCCCTGGCCAGAGCAGCGTGCAGAGGAAGCCGACACAGTACCAGGAGGAGGAGAAGGTAAGGTGAGTAGACCCATTCCACTGCGCAGGGAAGATACCTGCACTCTTTGGGGCTGGGTTTCTTTCCTGGGAAGGGAGTGAGCTGTCTGCAAGGGAGAGGGGAAGAAGTTCATTTCCTGACGAATAAAGTCTGTCACTTTTTTTGTAAGTTAGAACATGTGGCTGTTCAAAATATCTTTTACTTTAAACTGTACAACTGCTTTCTCAGCTCTTTTGATATGGTTCAGTTCTCAGAACTGAGATAAAGTTCTTCCGTCGGGTATTATTCACCCATCCTGATTTCCACCTCACATTTCCTCACAGAAAAACCAAGAAAATCTGAGAACCCTGGGAAAATCTCTATCTCCTGACTAAATCTCAGCTAGACAGGCACCTTTGTGGGCTTCCAATTTCCTTGTAGAGTCAGAAAAGCAAAAGAAAAATTAGTCTAGCAGAGAGAAAGTTTCCCAGCTTTCTTGTCAGAAATCATTTGGTCCTGTCCATTCATAATGGGATCTGTGAGGCAATTTATTCACGTTTCTTCTCTACAAACAGTTCTGCTTAGTAAATGTTGAAACGGGTCAACAAATTAGCTTCATCTACACAATGTTACTTTTACATAACTTATTTACACTCTGCACCAGTTGGTGGTTCCATCAGGGTCTGCACGTTGTATTTTTTGTTCTAACAACATTTCCACACATAATACAGGTTAAGTTTCAAATAATATGAGTACTACTTTAGGTTTATGAACTTAAAATCCCACTTACAAATAGCTTTAAAGATACTTAAGACATTTTGAATTTTTATGAATTTTAATGTTTTTCTAATTAAAGAGCATGTTTATTGATGATTTTTTGCCTGAATAGAATTGCTAAGCACTGCAGAAAGAACTCACTTAGATTGTATATAAATATGTATTTCAGTTATATATGTAGCTTGGGTTATACAGTTTTCAAACCTTGTAAGGAACTGTTTAGTTCTAGTAATTAACCTTTCTCCAGGAGGAGAGTATTTCTTATTTCGCTTTCTGTTACAACAGAGTTTTTAGTTTTTAGGTTGTTTTTTTTTTTTTTGCTATCTGCAAAAAAAGGGCATAAAAATCAACTCACCTGGGAGTTTTTAGGTATCTGGAAAGATTCACAGACTTGTAAATACAAACAGGATCTTAAACACCATCTAGTCAAGAAAAGCAAATGAAATCTGAGAATTTCTTTTGGCCTCTCCTGCTTACATTCTTACCCAGGGCAAACTGTGGTCAGTCCTAGAATATGCTTCACCCTGATGCTGGAATCTGGGCCTCATGGCCATGCAGGTTACCCACAACCCTGATGCGTCACTGTTCCCTAACTGGGGCAGAGACCAAGTTCATGAGGAGGTATCTTAACCTCACCTCCCCCTAGGAAACTCCATAGTGTTCCTGCCCTGGGGTTGGGCATGCCACTCGCATTGCCTGCACCCGAGCCCTCACTGGGCTGAGAACACCTGAGCCGCTGCTTACAGCTTAGTGCTTGGCTTCAGGTTGGAGAGTGACTCAGATCAGCACAGCAAGCATCAGGAGGCAAGAGCGCACTGTCCCACAGAACTCTCTGCAAAGATGTAATGTTCTATAAAACAGACGCTAACTACATACAGCTATTGAGCATTTGAAATATGGCTAGTGCAACATAAGGATTGAATTTTTTTTAAAAACAGGTTGAACTTTATTCTTTTTTAAAAATTAATTTATTTAATTGGAGGCTAATTGCTTTGCAATATTGTGGTAGTTTTTGCCATGGATATACATGTGTCCCACCATCCTGAAGCCCCCTTCCAAGAATTGAATTTTAATTGAATTAATTATAATCTAAATAGCTTCAAGTCTCTACTAGTTACTACATGAGTCAGAGCAGGTTTAGAGTTTTAAAGCAAGAAAAACTAAGGGATGCTCTGAACAATGGGGGTCATGTCCATGAGAACAAGTTCCTTCTTTCATCATTCATCATTTCATTATTCCCAGGGACTCATCATACCCTAAATGTAAGCAGACCAGCAATTGTCCTGATGTAATCTCCACAGACATCTTTATCCTCACCTCTGAGTCGTACAAGTGTCTGATCTAGTTCTGGGTTTCAGAATCTGGGCTAAGGCAATGGCCTATTGTCTATTTCGTCCTCTCCTATTTCTCCTTTTATTTTTGTCAGTCCAAATTTCACTAACAGGAGCTAAAGTGGGAGGTGTGGTTTGTGTATTCTCTGGTCCAACAAACTTGGGTGAGGAAAAGAGGTAATGAACTTGAAAAAATGATCTCATGCTTGGTGGGTGAGTCTCTCTCCTTTTTCTCCTGCTTTGAAAATTTGTTTGCTTAGTGAGCAATGATTTTTAGACCTATTCATTGTGTCTGGAAATATCAACACTGTGTAGATGAACAATTTTTAGAAAAAAACAAACTGAATGAAGACACAAGGGGAAAAAACATACAGAAAACTCCAGCCTCTTAAAAAAATCTGCACTCCTCAGAGCAAAGGAACTCCCAGGATGTTGTGCAATTGGAATAAATCATCATGGTGCCAGGCCACTGGGCAGTCTTCCACAGGGTGGGGCTCACAGGATCCTTACTATGTGTGGAAAATATTTTGAGGTGAGCTGAGTACTTTCAGTTAGGGGCAATGTCATTTCTAAAGAGGACAGCAGCTACTCCATCCTCTGCCCGCTACCAATTCACTTTCTAAAATTCAATCCATCCCATCTGCTTCCTTTTCTAGCCCTCCCAAATAACGACAAACAAAAAAAAAAAAAAGGAAGGAAGGAAGAAAAAGAAAAAGTTCAAATATATGTGAGGGAAGCATTGCTTTAAAATAACTCAGGAAAGTTTCAGGAAACTCCCTATCTGAAAAAGCTCACCCATACTGGGAACTAAAAGGGAAGTGGAGAGGGGCAGACACACCCACTTATCAGCAGTCAGTCTCTACCCACAGCCCCAAGCCCTCAAATCATGAGGTAGGAAGTTCATTTGTTCGGCTCTTCCCGCTTCTTGGGTTTCTTTCCCTCACATGGTGTCTTCCCTCTTCCTTTAGAAATTTGGAGAACGATTTCTACTCAAATCATTCACAATGAGGCATTGATATTGAGGGCTTGTGAGGCTCACTGCGCCTCTTTTATATGCATTTGCATTCTAACCAGGAGCAAAGGAGTGATTCTCAAGTTGTGGAAATTTGGAAATTAAGATGAAGAGTGAGGAAGACTGACTGGAGAGCAAGGGTAGAAAGTCCTCACCTTGTCAGTTTTGCTTATGTGACTCCCCTCTGGCAGGGCATTAGGAGTTTCTCTTCATTTTAAGGAAATATAAAGGGAGGTAGTATCTCCCTACCTTAGAAAGAAGAAAGATCAGTGACAAATTTAATACAAAGTCCTGGTTTAAGAGTCAGGAGATCTGTCTCAGATCTCGACTCTGAAAATGACACATCAGTGATCTTGAACAAGTCACTTTCCCTTATCAGCTTTGGTTTCCTCATCTGCACCATGATGGGACTGACTATAAAGCCTCTCGGTTTGCAGCCAGAACTGATACTGGATCATACTATGAAAGGGCACATAGCTAATAACGACCCTGGGATAACTGACACCTTAATTGCTCCACAATCACATACGTTCTCAGTAAGACAAAACTCACACAACGACTGAGTGCAGTCACTGACCTTAAAGCATGTCACTCATCAAGTGATTTGAAAGTTTCTGATTTCGTTTCTTAAGTGCAATTATTCGTCAAGTGACTTTTTTCCTTTTTGGGTTCAGAATTAACTTATTAACAAATGTGGGTAAAGAAAAGAAGTAACAAAAAAGAAAGAAAAACAGGAACAAGATGCCAGCTTAGATTGTCGTGGCAGAGGCCAGTAGGGAAGCAAAGTCCCCCCACACACAGATACACACAAATGCACCAAACAGGACCCAGTGTGGGCTGCCCTTGAGAACGGTTTGATTGGGCAGAGAGAGGAAAGTAGGGAAGGAAGGATAATTCTGGGCATGGGAGCTTGAGGAAAGGAAAGGATTTTCAGCTGAGCTTCGGAAGATGGTAAAGAGTTCAAGAAGCAAAAATGAGACACCACACAGTGGAGCAGAGGAAAGTGAGCAGTAGGCCATCTGAAACATGGTTGGTACTGACTGAATACAAAGTGAGGGGTTTGTGCTTTATCTCTTTGTTTGACCAGCCTCTCTTCCCTGGGCCAGAAGGAGGATAAAATGACTGGGATTGTACCAAAGCTATAGACACAGGCAAAGGGAAATTATTAGTCTGTCTCTAGGAGTTGAAACAGACAAGGCAATGGTAACCCACTCCAGTACTCTTGCCTGGAAAATCCCATGGACAGAGGAGCCTGGTAGGCTGCAGTCTATGGGATTGCTAAGAGTTGGACGCGACTGAGGGACTTCACTTTCACTTTTCACTTTCATGAATTGGAGATGTAAATGGCAACCCACTCCAGTGTTCTTGCCTGGAAAATCCCAGGGACGGGGGAGCCTTGTGGGCTGCTGTCTATGGGGTCGCACAGAGTCGGACACGACTGAAGTGACTTAGCAGCACCAACAGCAGCAAGAGTTGAAAAGCCAAAAAGGTCTCAAATTCAAGTGCAACAGAGTAGGGGAGGAGAAATCTGGATTTGGAGATACTGGTGAGCAGGAGAGGATGGGTAGACAAGTAAAGCCATCTGGAATTAGGAAGCAAGAAGCAGCCTGCAGCTGCGCTTGTGCTGGGGTGGGGACGCCACCCCNCATCACATCTCCAGTTCCGGGACTATGGGAGCAGGATCACAGTGAGAGGTGATGCCCAGTCACACCTGGGGCCAGCCTGCTGGTACAGGAGGAAGGCCCCCTGAGCTGTAGAGAGGAGGTGCCTGACTCAGGTAGAGCTATTGTAACATTGTAGCATTTAAAAAGAACAAGAGTAAAAGTCTTAACCTGGATAGACGTTTGCCCTGGGAGCACTCTCTCCTGTCTCCTGATGGAGGAAGCCCCAAGACCAGGGTCATTATTAGTTTTCTGGGTCCAAA